TATCATTGAAAGCTTTAAAAGGTTCATCATCACTGCTCTAGGAAATCAAATTAATCTACCCATCATCTCACCTAGTTACTCATTTTTTGCTATTGTGGCAAAAGCACCTAACATCCACTCACTTTGCAGGAATCCCAAGTAGCATACAACTGTAACAACTGGAGTCCTCTCTCACTCATGAGCTCTCCAGTCCTGTTCATCTTGCGGATCTGCTATTTGTAACCTCTCCCCTTTACCTCCCCACCTCCTCCATCTCACTCCCAGTAATCACTACTCTATTCCTTCTAAACAGCTCGCTTTTTTTTTTTTTTTAAATTCCACAGGTAAGTGAGATCACGCACTATTTTTCTTTCTGTGCCTGGCTTACTTAGCATAATGTCCTCCACATATACCCCTGTGTGGAAAGTAGCAGGATCTTCTTTCAAACAAAGATGTATACAATTGTGTCTCCATACAGTTTCTCCAGGCATTCATCCGTGGCTGGATATTCAGGCTGTGTCTGTATCTTCACTACTGCCAGTAACGCTGTAATGAACATGGAAGTGCAGCTATCTTTAGAAGGTGGCGATTCCCTTTGGGTGCATGCCCAGAAAAAAGGCTGCTGGGCCATATGGTAATAGCAGGTTGACTTTATTTAGAAATCTCCACACTGTTTTCCATAATGGTGGCACCAATCCACATTCCCACCAACAGTGAACCAGAGTTCTCCTTTTTTTGTTTTGTTTTTGTTTTTTCTTCTGGTACCAGGAATCGAACTCACGACCTTGTGCTTGCCAGGCAGGTGCTTTGCGGCTGAGCTAAATCCCCAACCCCTTTTTTGGTCTTTTTGAAACAGGGTCTCACTATGCAATTCAGGCTGGCCTTGAGCTCACTTTGGAGCCTACACTGGTCTCGTCTCAAACTCACAAGGATCCTCCTGCCTCAGCCTCCTGAGTGCTGGGATTACAGGCATGCGCCTCCACGCCCGGCTCCAGAGTTCCCTTTTCTCCACATTCTTGACATTTGTTATTTCTTAACTTTCTGATAACAACCATCCTAATGGGAGTGAGATCAGATGCCAGTGGCTTTGATTTGCATTTCCTATTAATTAATGCTGTTGATGACTTTAGCATCTCTTAACCACTTTTATGCACCCTTTGAAGAAATATCTAGTAAAGCCCTTTGTCTGTTTTTTAATTGGGTTATTTATTATTCTATTAAGTTGTATGAATTCTTTATGATGTCTAGATATTAATTCCTTATCAGATATTACAAGTATTTTCCCAATCATTTTCATTTCATCTTGTTGTCATTTCATCTTGTTGATTATTTTCTTTTCTATGCGAAGTTTGTATTTTACACTCACAACACTCACTATTGGGGATAATCATCTTTCAAGTATCCCACAGCCTCATGTAACTCGCAGCTGCGATATGGAACAGCACACACCTACAACAAAAGTGGGTCAAATACTAGTACTGAATTTCTGAAAAGGGGGAGAAGAGCATTCGGAAGGGACATAAAGAGAAGCGTGATGTGCTACGTACAATTATGCACTCCTCATGATGAACATAATCAATATGCACTGCAAAAAAGTACTAATAAAAATTGTTTTTAAAAAAATTTCTACAGCATAGTAACATAAAGCCGTAAGTACCTAAACAAAAGCAAAATGTCTTTAATGGCAGATGTGCACTGACAATAGTTAAAACTGTAAGAACACCACTTAACACTACTAAAACATTTGTTATGTGCCAGACTCTTTTAAATACTTTTTTTTTTGTTGTTGTTTTTCCAATACCGGGGATCGAACTCACGACCTTGCACTTGCCGGGCAGGCGCTGTGCCGCTGAGCTAAATCCCCAGCCCCCTCTTTTAAATACTTTTCAAGCATTATTGCGTGGATTATCACAAAAACTACTGATGCAAATACTAACAAGATCCCCATTTTACATACGAGAAAACTAAGACTGAAAAAGTAAATAAAGATTTAACCCCAGATGTGGCCTTAAAATACTACACATGCTATACTGCAAGAAATTATCAATAAAACTCAAAGGTGTTTTTTAAATCAGAATACAGAACAGACATAAAAAAGCATAAAATATGAATAAAAACTAGTTTTTGGAATTAACAGTCCTTTTAAACTGAGTCATAATATAATAGGTTTCTACAGCATGCTCCAAACTACACAATTTTGGGTTAGAATTTGTATTTTCAAACCATTAGTTCCACAAATATTTCATTTAACCTTATACTACTAATGTAACATGAAAATGTTTATTAAAAATTGCAGTTTTAGCTTACAGAAAAAAATACAATTATTTCAAAAGCGAAGACTTTCTAGTAGTGTACTGATTTCAAGAGTTACACGTTTCCTTTATAAAAGTCTTATTGTACTTATCATGCTAATTTCATTGTGGACTTTTTAATAGTCCCATTCTCTCTCTCCTCTTTTGGGGGGTGGTATTGGGAATCGAACTCAGGACCTTGCACTTGCCAGGCAGGTGCTTACACCACTGAGCTATATCCCTGGCCCAGTCTCATTTTCTTTTATGGAAGGAAGCAGGGCTTATATTCTTCCCATTCACTTATCATTTCAACTAATGAAAACGTATGCTAAAACAGCCAAAAATACAGCCAGTTTCTTTCACATATTTCAATTCTAAGAAAAAAAAAGAGAATGCTATATAACACGGAACAACACAGTAGATGGGCCCACTGCACTCGCAGAGTTTTAGCTGAAACACGGACACAAGGCTCACCTTTACATGCATATGCCACCGGCAGATGAGACAAACATTGCCTGGTGGTCATTAAAAGTTCAGATAAAAAGCTAGACATATATTCAGAAAATAACATTCAAAACATTCATCTAAGCTGGGTGTGGTGCACGCCTGTAATCCCAATACTCAGGAGGCTGAGGCAGCAGGACCGCTGTGAGTTCAAGGTCAGCTAGTCTACATAGTTAATTCTAACTATGAATTTTAACTACATAAACAGGACCTTCATTGGGGGAAAAAAAATCCTCTACTGAAATAAACAGTCCTGTGTGAAAGAAGATCTGTGATCAGAGCTCAAACTGTATGACCCCTTTGTGTGATAACAATGGCCTTGACCCACAGTTGAAGGCCATGACTATCTGCATACTAACTCTGACATTTTCAGGGTGTCACTGGAAAAAGCCTGAGCACACATCTCCAGTTACATAATAAAGCTACTCCCAGACTGCTTTCATCATCCCTCCCACACATCCAAAACTTCACCAAGGCCGCCAGATCTGAAACAGGAATGGTGCTTGCAAAGAAAGTGTTCATTTGTACAACATGCAGCACCAGAGCAGACATTCACCAATATAAAAAGGTTAAACGGATCAGCCTGCTACTGTCACAGTAAAGAAACACATCAGCCTCCTAAAAATCTTCCCAAAAATATATTCATAGCTTTTGTGTTTTTTTTCGGGCTGGGGATTTAGCTCAGCAGCACAGCGACTGACAGGCAAGCATGAGATTGTTAGTTCGATTCCCAGTACCAGAAAAAACAAAAAACAAACAAACAAAAAAAAATAGTTGTGGCCTTTGCGTTTTTATCTTTAAGTAATCTGAACAACTTCATCAATAAATATCTCATAGATGCTATGAAGTTCATCTGTGGTTTGTTTGTTTGGGTTTTTTTGCTTTTCTGTATTCCTTTTGACTGTCTACTAGTATATTTATTTCAGTATTTATTTCAGTGTCAGGTACTGGGTAGAGCCTTTATATGCTCATCATCCCATATCACTTTGATTACGGTCTCCTCTAGGAGTTAACAATGCTAGAATCAAAATGACCTCACCAAAAAAAAAAAAAAGTCAATGAAAGGGGCTGGGGACATCGCTCAGTGGTACAGTGCCTGCCCGCCTGGTAAGCACGAGGTCCTGAGTTTGATTCCTGATACCCCCCCCAAAAAAATTCAGCAAAATGACCTCACCACTAACTTAGATTAAGTTTCTCCCCACCCCATGACAATGTAACTCTAAGATCCTCGAATCTATGAAACAATTATTTGCACTATGAAATCTTTTTTTTTGCACTACAAAATCTTAAGACTAGTGCGCAATTATTTACAAATGTCTTTTGCTCTTTGAACACTTTTAAGATCACACTAAGTACAAAACAAACTTTTTTCTAAAAAGTCAATGCTTTTTTTCTAAAAAGTCAACGCTTAGCTCAGCAGCACAGCTCCTGCCTGGCAAGCGCAAGGTCCTAAGTTTGATTCCTGGTACCAGGGGGAAAAAAAGTCAATGCTGACAGCCTGGACCCTGAGTTAAGAGAAGAGAATTTGAGGGCAGCCCAGGCTACATAGTGAGACCCTAAATCAAAAAAAATATCAACACTAAGTATTTAGGGTCAACAGAGAAACAGAGCTCAAGTCATATCTCTGCTCAGCTATAAATCACAAGTAAAAATAATCACTATACACACTAAGATTATGGTCTACCATGCAAGATGAAAAACTTACATTAAAAAGTAATTTTAAAAGAAATCACAAATATTTTAGTACATGATTCAATATAAAGCTTCTACATAACTGACTCAATATTGAGAGATTTAAAAATTCCCTTGTAACTGGCCCTTTTTTTTTTCATTCTTTTGCAGAACTGAGGGCTGATCCCAAGACCTGGTACATGCTACCACTGAGCTACACTCCTAGCCCCTTTTTAAAATTTGCTTTTATTTTGAGACTGTATCTCACTAAGCTGCTGAGGCTGGCCTCTAACTTGAAATCTCCCTGACTCAGCCTCCTGACCTGAGCTGCTGGGATTACAGGCATGTGTCACCATTCCTGGCTGTACCTGGCCTTTAAACCCAAAGAAAATGCTAAAGATCATTATACCCTTCCCCTGATAATTCAGCAAATCAAAAAAATGGCAACAGAAACTCAATTCAAGCTGAAGGAAACGTGTACACATGAATGAAACACCCAAGAACATCATACACACTGCATCTGTCCCAAAATCTAAACATACGCAGTGACCTTACCTGTCTCTGAAATGTAGGTAACAGGATCCTGTCGTAAAATTTTACCAGGTTTTGACAATGGCAGTTTTTCTGATTGCTTTTTGGCATTTTTCACCTGCACTGTCTCCTCTGCCTCTGAATCTGTATGTGAAAGGAAAATAAAATGTGAAAAGAAATACTGTAGCAGTGTTTTTTCCTCCCTGCCTCCACTCACACTGGGTACCGGGGACTGAACCCAAGGCTGCTTCTCACTGCTCACTGAAATTCACCCTCAGCCCTTTCCTCACTATTTTTTTTTTTTTTTTGTCTTTTTGAGACAGAGTCTCCCTGCGCAGTTCAGGCTGGCCTTGAGCTCACTTTGTAGCCACGGTTGGCCTCGAACTTGCAATGATCCTCCTGCCTCAGCCTCCCGAGTGCTGTAATTACAGGCATGTGCCACCATGATAGGCCTTAGACTTTCTTGGTTTTTTTTTTTTGTCTTTCTTTAATTTTTAAACAGGGTCTTGCTACATTACCCAGGATGGGCTTGAACTTGATCTTCCAGCTTCAGCCTTCCAAGTACTGGGATTACAGACAGGGGCCAGCACACCTAACTCAGCACGTTTTTGTTTGTTGTTTGTTTTTGTTTCTTTCAGACAGCATCTCTCTATGCAGTTCAAGCTGGCCTTGAATTCACAGCAGTGCTCCTGCCTCAGCTTCCCAAGTGCTGGGATCACAGGCTTGGGCCACCATGCCTGGCAGGCTCAGTACATTTTTAAGTAGTTATTACAAACCAGTTCCTCAGGGTCCCTTCCAAGGCACATCTCTTGTGAACTTTATCAAGAAATGTGTTAGCTTCCTGCTGCTGCTGTACCAAAGCACCAAAACTCAGTGGTATAAAACACAAGTGTATTATCTTAGCAGCGCTGGAGGTTAAAGCCTGATGTGGGTCTCATTATGTAAACGTCAAGGTGTCACAGGGCTGTGCTCCTCATTAAATGCCCCAGGAAGAATCCACACCCTTGACTTTCCTAGTTGCTACCTCAGCAGCTGCCAGCACTCCCTGGGGCACGGAGCCTTCCTCATCTCAAGGCAGTGGCATCAGGAGAGCCCCCCAATGCCATCTTTCCTTCTCCTGCCCTCCACAGGTTGATCATCTCTCCAAATGCTCTTCTACCTCCCTAGGCCTGCATACACTGAGACCACCTGAAAACCCAGAATAAGCTCCCTTAATGTTAGTTTTAATTTTTTCTTTTTTTATTTGAAGTGCAGCTTTTATTTCCTCTTGCTCTACAATGTAACATATGCACAGGTGCCAGGAATCGGTGTCTCCATCTCTTGGAAAAGGGGGTCACAACTGCATAATTGCCCAGACTACTTAATATAAACCAGGACAAAGTGTAAGCACCAAGCATACCTAGTGTCTAGTATAAAACAGACGTTTTGCTGGGCATGGTGACATACACCTGTGATCCCAGCATTGGAAGGCTGAGGCAGGAGGACTGCCACGAATTCAAGGCCAGCCTGGACTACATAGTGAGTTCAAAGTCCAATCTACACGATGAGACGTGGTCTCAAAAAAAAACAGATGTTTCCCAAATTTACTCTCTTCTTCCTCTGTACCATGCACTTTTAAGTCCTGTCTCAAACTGTTCTACATTATAATAAACAATTAAATTGCCAGTTTTCCAAAGTCATGGTGATGCATTCCTGTAATCCCAGCACTCAGGTGGCTGACAGAGGAGGATCACTGTGAGTTCGAGGGCCAGCCTGGACCACGTAGTGAGTTCAAGGCCAGTCTGAACTACGTAGCAAGACCCTGTCTCAAAACAACCCAAAAAATTAATTAATAAATTAGTTAAAATAAAATAACCTAAAAATAAAAATTGCCAGTTTTTTCCCATTAGATAGTATCATTATTACAAAGCTTATCTTATATGAAATGTATTTCTTAGTTTTTTTTTAATTTTAAAGAGAGGGAAAAAACAGAAACAATACAGACTTTCAAAACAAGATGATAGGAAATTAACGATGGTTATTATACTGCATATTGTTATCTTCAAAGTAGCTGCTCAGATTAGGTCTGCAGAGGTCTGCAAAACTGATCAAGCAATATAAGCACTAAGAATTCCTTTCAATGAACTAACAGAAATTAGTAGTACAATTATCTTTGTTGTCTTGTGTATAGATACATCTTTTTTTTCCCTTCCTTCTTTTCTCTTTCCCCCATCCCAGTTGTTCTTTCCTTTTGAGCAGTTTCTTTCCCTTTCACTATATCTATTATACCTTTTGGATCTTATTTACTCTTTCAGTTTCTTACACTAGGGAGACAATATGATGTTTACACATTCGAGTCTGGTTTATTTCACTTATGAGTATGGTCTCTAGTTGCATTCATTTACCTATCAAAGATCCTGTCTCAAGCTGGGCATGGTGGCAGAGGCCTGTAATCCCAGCCTGTTATTCAGCACTCAGAAGGCTGAAGCAGGAGGATTGCTGCAAGTTTGAGACTAGCCTGGGCTACAAAGTGAACTCAAGGCCAGTCTGAACTGCACAGCAAGACCCTGTATCAAAAAGAGAAAAAAAAAGAAATCCTGTGTCAAAAATAATAATAATAATAATAATAATATTTTTAAAGAGTAAAAACAAGGGGTCAGGGATATAGCTCAGCGGCACAAGCGCCTGCCTGGCAAGCCTAGGTCCTGAGTTCAATTCCCAGTACCAAAAAAAAAAAAAAGTCTTAACCCAAGTCTTAACAATCTATGTTTCCTTAGTACATTTTTAAAGAATATATACAGGATAAAAACAAAAAATTAGGCTGGGCATGGTGGCACACACCTGTAATCCCAGCACTTGGAAGGCATAAGCAAGAGGATCAAGGCCAGCCTGGGCTATATAGTGAGTTCAAGGCCAGGCTGAACTACATAATGAGACCCTGTCTCAAAAACAACAAAAAATTAAAATTAAAGTAAAGTTTAAAAATAAAAAATTGGACTGGGGATTTAGCTCAGCGGCACAGCGCCTGCCTGGCAACCGCAAGGTCATGAGTTTGATTCCCAGTACCAGAAAAAAACCAAAACCAAAAAAAAATAAAAATAAAAATAAAAAATTGGATATAGGGGCTCACACCTGTACTCCCAGCTACTTGGGACTGAGGCCAGAAGACCACCTGAGTCCATGGCTTCATGGACTCAGGAAGACCACCCTGGGCAATAAAGCAAGGCTTTGTCTCCAAAACTAAATATAGCTAGGGATGTAACTCACTGTAAATCACTTGTCTATCATATATTCTTTCCCTAGCATCACAAAATAAATAATAAACTAAAATAAAATTAAGGAAAGAAGCCAGGCATGGTGGCGTACACCTGTATCCCAGCGCTCAGGAAACTGAGGCAGGAGGATCATTGTGAGTTCAAGGCCAGCCTGAACTATACATTGAGACCCTGTCTCAAAAAAAAAAAAGGAAAGAAAAATGTCACACAAGATGGATCTTCTCCACAAAAACACAAAGGGAAGCTTTCTGGACCAGCCTGCGCATCATCAAAGGCATGAGAACTCAGCAGCAGAGAACTGGCCTAGTGGTGGCCCTAGTCTGATCCCGAACACATAGACAAATGAATAAACCACATTCAAACTATATGAGACATGCTACATATTTTACCTCCCTCTGAATAAACCTTTCATATGTTAATATATTTAGGTTCTAAGTACTCCAGTTAAATAAAATTGTTTTAAACTCTACTTGAGCCGTTAACATCACACAAAGCTGTGCATCTCAAACTATCAATCTGGAAAACAGTACCTAAGGTATATAAAAGGATTTAAATACTCGAAAGGTCCTCAGGAGAAGTATTACCTGAATCATAGATGATCCTCTTTTTCTTGCTCGGTTGTTTTTGTTTGGAGGCATCCTCTTTATAAGAGCTATTTACCTATAAACATCATAGTACAATTAGAACACAAAGACAATACAATTAGTCCCTACTTTTTTTCCTCCTTAGACCTGAGCTTAGTGGTTTTCAACCTGGGGCAATCCTGCCTCCCAGGACACATCCTCAACGTCTAAAGATATTGTTATCACAAATAAGTGGGGAAGAAGGTTACTGATGTGCAAGCTATTGAGCTGGGGAAGCTACTAAACATCCTTCAAAGCACCCAGGCAGCCCTCCAACAAAGAACTACCTAGCCCAAATGTCAACAAAGCTCTTAGTGGACTAAAGAACAGTCTAGCCAATAATTACATCAGGATGAGGGAAACAAGTATAGAGAAGTTTTATTGTTATTCAGCTCCACCTCCACACAAACCTGTGTATAACAAAGGGTAGAAGGTAGTAGATAACATGAAGTACTATCTTGGTGAACTTAGTGAACCCTGTCTCAAAAAAAATGTGTAAGGTCTGGTGATACAGCTCAGTGCAAAGGTCCTCAGTTCAATCCCCAATAGTTTTAAAAGGGGGGAGAGGCACATACCTATAATCCCAGCACTCTGGGAGTCTACAGCAGGAGAGTCACAAGGTCGGGCCCAGCTTGGGCAATTTATCAAGACCTTATCTCCAAGCCAGGTGTGGTGGTGCACACCTGTAATCCCAGCACTCAGGAGGCCGAGGCAGGACGATTGTTGAGAGTTTGAGAGTAGCCTGGGCTACAAAGTGAGCTCAAGGCCAGCCTGAAATGCACAGCAAGACCCTGTCTCAAAAAGACCAAAAAAAAAAAAAAAAAAAGACCTTGTCTCAAAATAAAAATTAAAGGGCTGAGGACATAGCTCAATATGAAAACCCTGGGTTCAATCCCTAGCACTGCTGAAAAAAAAACTAAACTAATAGCCCACGACTAAACCAATGCCTACTGGAAAATTAAACCAAAGCAAAAGGTATTTCTATTCTGTAGCTAAACATCACATTTCTAACATTCAACTTTTCCCAAAAAGCCTCAAAACCACAAAAAACTGATTGTATTCAAGTAAAGGTAAAAATACAAGCTTTTTCTGCCCATTATATTAAAGCTTCAGAAACATAAGCTCAATCAGCTTGCAATAAAATAGAACAAATGAACCATTATAATTTATATACATCATGGGATTAGAGTACAGAGTTAGAGGCAACCATAATAACTCAAAAATGAGAGAAGACTGTATTTCAAAAAGAGTTAGGGCCAGGGATATGGCTCAGCAGCACAGGGCCTGCCTGGCAAGTGCAAGGCCCTGAGTTCCATTCCCATAGCAAGAAAGAGGGGAGGGGAGGGGAGGGGAGAAGGGAAAAGGGAAAAGGAAAGGAAAGGAAATAGAAAGGGACTCCCAAATTTTGCCTATAGCTTTGGCCAAATCTAATGCTTTCTCCCACACTATATATGTGGAATAATGGAAAAACTCCTAGTGCTTAGCTAAGATTACCCCTCAGGACACAACGCTGGCTTACAACAACCCATCCCACACTTTTCTACTGTAAATTTGTAGTTTAGCATAATAGTAGCCAGCTGTGCATCTCAGTAGCTGCACCTGGAGAGTACAGGAAACAATCTTCCCTTTTACCCAGTTGGTATGCCAAAAGGCAAGGTGCATGCATGTGTGCAAAAGTGTCAAACTGCGATTTTTACCGACATAATGCTCCAACAGATTTTGCATATGTTTACCTGAGCATTACAGGGGGTAAAATACACCCACATCTCACGTTCTATAAACATGTTTTTTACTATAAATGGAATGTGAGTATGACTTACAGTAGCTGCACCTGGAGAAAGCAAAAACCCATTTGTGCACTCACACACTTGGCAGACAAACATCAAGGTGTGTGCAGGAGATACAAAGCAGGAACAGGTGACTTTTACTCAAGAAATACTCATTGCTAAATTCCTGTGCATTTAAGATTTATTTTTTTAAAAGTTTTCTTTTGGTTTTTCAAGTAGAAGTAGCCCAGCCCAGTGCAACGACATATGAAAAAACAGATTTGCAAGTTTTGGAAGAGGTCTGAAGTGAATCACCAGATCATGCATGCATGGATGATGAAGATAATGACTTTGATGTTGCCAATGTAAGGAAAAGTTTCTGTGGCACTGAAACGGAGCAAGAATCAACAAATATCAACACAAAGAACGCACAGATGGTGAAGAAAACAGCAAGTATATCTTTGACTAGTAGAAATGGTAAAAAATGCTCATGCAACCAAATGAAATAATTCAATGTTAGAACTACGACCAAAAATACAGTGAAGGTCTTGGCAAGGGTGAAACCTATTGGACCAACAATGCCATTCAGTGTTGGAGTTTGTAAGGGATGTAATGCTGCAAGGTATGAAATACAGAAATGCTGAAATAAAAGTAAAACGTTCTGTATGCACCAATAACCACACTCAAAAAAGGTACTTATTATGACACCTCACTAGCTGAACTGAAAGCAATAATAAGTCTGATGTACTTTACAGAGCTTTCTCATGGTAATCGCATCAATGTAAAAGACTTATGGAAAAGCAATGGGTTTGAGCTTGAGGTCTGTAAAGTAACAATGACACTGAGACTTGGTTTCCTTCAAATTACCTAAGGTTTGATGACAAAACCATCCACCAAGAAATAAAAAAACTGATAATCTGACTGTTATCTGCTCATGGTCTGAGAGATTTGTGGGTAACCGTCAAGAACACTTTAGGCTGAGGATATAGTTCAGTGGCACAAGCACCTGCCTGGCAAGCACAAGGTCCTAAGTTCAAGTCCCTACCAAAAAAAAATAAAATAATATCTCACAGCATTTCAAGGTCATTGTAGCTTAAGGCAGGATACTACAAAATACCTTCAAAGTATGGCATAAAAATTTCTGCCCTTATAGATGTGAAGACTTATTATGCTTTCAATTTAGAAATTTGTCCTGGAACTCAGCCACCAGGCCCTTATTCATATAGTAATAAACCAAACGATGTTGTTATGAACAGACCTGTTAGTCCCATCTCCTAAACTAATCAGATTGTGACATTCAACAATTGGTTTACCAGTTTCCAACTGATGTTACATTGGAACAAAGCAGAAATTTCAAATGAAATGTTGCAATTTCAAAATAGAGGATGGGCGTGATGGCCCACGCCTGTAATTCCAGCACTCAGGAGGAATTCCAGCACTCTGAGGCAGGAGGATCACTGGGAGTTTGAGGCCAGCCTGGGCTGCAAAGTGAGTTCAGGGCTGGCCTGAACTGCTAGTGTCTCAAAAAGAAAAAAAAAAAGGAAAAACAAAAACCCACAGAGAATCATATACAGTACAATCTTTGAATTTCAGAAAGATTTACACTGGGCTCATAAATGGCAAAGAAAAACAAACTGGTAGTGTTGATGTCAACATCGTACCATGATGGAAATATTAACAGGGAAACCTTGACAAAACGGAAGCCTGAGATGGTAACTTTCTAAAACAAAACCAAAAGTAGAGGAAATGTTGATGAGTTATGCAGCAATTATGATGTCACTCAAAACACAAAGCACTAGCCAAGGGTTGTGTTTTACTTGATCCTAAACATGCGTGGCATAAATAGTTTGATAGTTTACAAAGCAAATAACAAGCACAAAATATCATGGAGAAATTTTCCTAGAAGACTGGGACTGAACTCATAAGAGATCATTTACAACAGAGGAAAAATAAAATGTTTCTGCCTAAGGAACTACGCAAAAATAACTGTGGAGCACACTGTGAGCTCAGGTGAACAGTTCACCTGTCAGCTCTGGTGAACAGGCAGGTGCAGCATCACAAAGACCCACTATAATAACAGAAAAACAAAAAAGATGTCAGCTGTGCCCTACAAGAAAGGACAGGAAAACAAAACATACATGCTATCAGTGTAAGCGATACTTAAATATGGAACATGCAGTTTTCATGTGTGAAGACTGGGTGTGACAGTTGAAGCAAAGATTATTTCTGTGGTGGACTTTTGTTTGAATTTGCATTGTACTTCACATAGGCTTGTCTTTCTGGTGTTATATTTTCTAAGCAAGTAAACTTCTACTGTGAAAATGTTGATGTGTATTCTAAGCACTCATTACACATTTGATATTTTATTTTATTGATATCTTATTTTCCTGCTAAGAGCACAATGTACAATATAGTAGGAAGCTCCTGACAAAACAGGAAGATAAGAGAGGTGACAAGAATGGCCTGCCACAGAAGAAAGGAAAGCTAAGCCCGTGTGCTGTTAGTGTGCACGTGCGAGATGTGCACAGAGCATGCAGTTGTCACGTGTGAAGACTGCCTTGCATGTGACAAGTGAAGCAAAGATAATTTTTGTTGTGTAGTTCTATCCGTATTTTCATTTTAGTTCACAGAGGAATTCACTTCTGATGTTATATTTTAGGTTTCATAAGCAAGTACTCAGCTGATGTGAAAATGTTAGTGTTTATTTTAAACATGCAATACATATTAAGAACTTAATATACACTTTATTGATATTTCACGTTCCTGTTAATTGCACATCGTATAACATGGTAAGAACCTCCTAACAAAACAGCAAGACCAGTGAGATGTCAAGTATGTCCTACAAAAAGGCCAGGAAAGTAAAACATATGTACTGTCAGTATAAGCAATGCATGTGTATGCAACATGCTGTTGTCATGTGTTAAGACTGCCTTAGGTGTGATAACTGAAGTAAATATTTTTTGTATGTGGAGTTCTATTGGTATTTTCATTGAATTTCATATAGAAATATATTTCTGTTGTTATTTTTTAGATTTTGTATACCAAAAAAGTCAATGTTGAAAATTTTGAGGATTTTTTGTAAATAATATTAAAAATTCAATACTGTTTTGATATTTTTCCTGTTAAGTACTCATTGTTTAATATAATAAAACTCATAAAATTAAAATTAGTAACTCATCAATAGAAATATTCTATAGGATAAACACAGGTATTATACACACTCAATAATGTGCCTTTATGACAAAATTGATCTTATGCTGCAGAGGCTACA